AATTATGTATGAAAAAATAATATATTGCTTGAAAATTGTAATTAAATGTGAAGTTATAATTTAATAATATATAATAATATATAATAATACATAATAATTTAATAATATATAATAAAAAATAAATCAATGCTCAATAAAATAAATTAAAATAATTCATTAAAGGACTCAGAGCTTTTATATGATATCTAATCATCGGATCTCACTTGGTTATATTTTTGATTGGAACAAGAATTTTAGATAGGAAATCATCATATAACAAAAAACTAATTTCCGAGATGATTTTTATAAAAAAATAAAAGAATGGACTTAATTTACAAAGTGACAGAGAGAATCGTTACCAGAAATATACTCTCTCGTTATACAAGCATTTTCCTCTTCCTGAATATTTCCTGTCATCTTTTCTCTCTCCTTCGAACTTTCTCACAATTGATGATTTTTTCGTTAATTGTGTCTATATCAGTTTAAAATAAGTTGTTAAGAAACACGGAAGAACATGATACTTTTTATACCTTTTGAGTTCTGATCTTAATACTGTTGTATATATATATACTATGTTATATATACTATTATACGCTGTAATTTTGATCATCTTCATTGGTAGTAATATAGGTATTAATACAAATCTTGCGACATTTGAATTTACGTAAATTCTCAATAGGTTGAATTATTACATGGCAATACATCATCACGATTTCATGGACAAGTTACATCTGTAGTTTAAGAAGAAATCAAATAACAGTATTACAAATTATCATCGGTAACTGATACTATATAATAAAATGAGATTCACTCTTAAACTGACAAGTGTAAAACAAGATCCTATAACTTCTTGCGGTCATATCAAAATTTTCGGATTGCATACGTTGGTGCTTTAGGATTGAGGTTTTTATATTGTATGCGTTAGACTTTTTTGGAATTTTTAGTATGTCATTGTTTTAATGTAGACGATAGTTTTAACATTGAAAATGACCTGATAAAAGGTCAAAATGTCTGTATTTTAATTAGTTAGTAAATATAATGTTTTGTAATTTATAACAATAGCGAAGAATATCTTGTGCTCCGATCCCTTTAACGGATTATTTTAATTTACTAGGTGTATAAGCTTAAATCCGCTGTTTGCTAGGTGGCATTAGTGAGCGTACAAAGCTACCCTAGGCACACAACACACTTTTTTTTTTTGTGTTTGACATCTGTCAACATTAACCAGTGCACATCATCAGCAATTTCAAACAACAACATACATTTTTTCTTTCGAAATCATGTCTAGTTTTTTGCTGAAAAAAAAGCATATGCGGGAAGCTTTGCTTTTCTGTGAAGAAATCGGCTGGCGAATCGCATCGAATATGGAGGCCTATGGCAATGTTTTATCGGAAACAACGTGCAGAGATTGGTTTCGCCGATTCAATGACGACAATTTTGACCTGAGTGACAAGAAGCGTGAAAATCGGCCCAGGAAGGTTGAGGACTATCAATTGCAAGCTCTTTTGAACAAGGACCATATCCAATCGCAAAAAATGCTTGCCGAGCAATGGGATGTTTCTCAAGCAGCCATTTCCATGCGGCTACATGCCATGGGGAAGGTTCAAAAGATCGGAAAATGGGTGCCGCATGAGCTGAACGACAGATGGAGCGACGCCAAAACACATGCCAAATTCTGCTTGCCAGACAAAGAAGAAAGTCGTTCCTGCATCGGATTGTGACAGGCGATGAAAAGTGAATCTATTTTCCTAAACGCAAGAAATCTTGGGTTGATCCCTCCCCGATCCCGATCAACATCTTTCTCAAGACCAAATCGCTTCGAATGGAAGACGATGCTGTGCATTTGGTGGGATCAGAAAGGTGTCATCTACTACGAGCTGTTAAAACCTGGTGAAACTATTAATGCTCACCGCTACCATCAACAATTGATCAAATTTCACCGTGCTCTGCGTGAAAAAAGCATTATCGGAAAAGACATGACAAGCTAATTTTCCTCTCCGACAATGCACCATCGCACACATCAACAATGGTCCAAAACTACTTGGAGACACTCAACTGGGAAGTGCTACCGCATCCCGCTTACTTATCAGACCTGGCATTTTCTGACTATCACCTGTTTTCATCGATGGGCCGCTCGCTGAGCGGCACTTTGATTCTTACGAAGATGTCCGAAAATGGCTTGATGAGTGATTTGCCTCGAAAAATAAGAAATTTTTTTGGCGTGATATATACAAATTGCCCGAAAGATGGGAAAAATGTATAGTTAGCGAGGACAAGTACTTTGAATAAATTTGTTTTTGCTTCCTAGGAAAAAAAAATGTGTTTTTCTGACTAAAAAACAGCGGATTTAAACTTATACACCTGGTAATAATACACACACACACACACACACACACACACGCGCGCGCGCGCGCGCGCGCGCGAAATATGGGGAGCGCACTTTCCGCCAAATCATTATTGAAATATGTTTTTTATTAAATAATTTATTTCTATTAATATAAAACTGTGCTGTTGTTCATTTATTCATTCTTTGTTTTTTAACGATATATTTACATCTTAACGTAATTTCTTACAATATTTTTTAAAATGTATTAATAGATTCCGTTTTCATACAGCATAGAAACTTATAACAACATTGTTGCAACATTTCAATGTTGCATATTGCAATACAATGTTGCAAAAACATTGCGAAGACTTCTTTTTGCAATATTATTTCAGCAATGTTGCAGCAGTATTTAAAATATTTTCAGCAAGAGTCACAAATTGACACAAGAGTCATCTTGTCCTTGTTCAGAAAAGAAGCAAAGATAAAAATGACTCTTGTTATTGTGTCGATTTGTGCTTCTGTTAGAAAGTTCACTTTAAATGTTAAGACTATATATTGATTTGTATATAATAATAATATATATAATAATATAATAAAAACCCAATAAAATAAGGATCTGGACATAATGGAAGAATAGGAATTAATGATCACGTTTACACGGCACACTTAATCGGGTTTCATAACATCTGTAGTTTTGAAACTGAAACTGAGTTTCGAAACTCAATCTTATAACTATATTCCTCTGAAAAATGGAATGAATAGTTAGTTTCTAACTACGAATATTATTAAACCCGATTAGTTAATTTCTACCAATATAGATTAATTTTAATCTCAGTTCAACTTATTTTTGTCTTTTTCTAATTCTAAAGATTAGAAAAAGACGAAGAGTAAGTTGAGCCGAAATTAAAGTTAATCTACATTAGTGGAAACGGACATAAAGTGTAAACATAATCAATATATCTATAATTTATAAGAATTGTGCCTATAATTTATATATATAAAACAATTAGAAGTAAGGATTAAATATAATGCACAATAATAAAATATAAGACGTATAATATAAAAAATTAAAATTAGGAGTTAACTGTAACATACAATGAAATACAAATAAAATATATTTATATTTAGCACAAATAGTACTGAAAATTTATATTTCACGTTATATATACTGTCGATTTTCAGTACTGGCAGTGTATATCGGAACACGCCTATAAAATATAAAAACATAATTAATTATGAAATCATATTTTATTTGTATTCATTGTATGTTACATTTAATTCCTACTTCTAATTTTTTATATTTAAATTTATATAGTACAAAATCTTATAATAAATATTGCAGGAACGTTGCAATATTACAGTAGTGTTGCTGCATTATTACAATATTTCTATGTAATACTGCAAATATTCTTTCATTGTGTGCAAAACCTAATATTGCATATTATATTGTAATATTGCTGCAACATTACGTATCAATATTTTTGCAATGTTGCTGCAATATTTCTGTGCTGTATGGGTTACGATAAATACAATCTAATATATTAAAAAATATATAATCTAATACATTAAAAAAATGTAAGATAATTACGTTAAGATATAAGTATATCATTAAGAAACAATGAATAAATTAACAATAGAAAGTTTTATGTTAATAGAAATTATTTAATAAAAAACATACTTCAATAATGATTTGGAGGAATTAAAATTGTTCATGTATGAATATGTATAAATATGTATAAAAATACATAAACGTGCATAAATATTCATTAACACGTATAATTATATGTGAAATATGTTCATATATGCATGTTTATACATATCCTTCTTTCTTTTGTAAATTAAATCATTTTTTAGTGTAATAGAAATAATAATAGTAATGTGAAAACATAAAAAATAATTAAAAGAATAATTTTCGCATTGTTTGCTTTAGAAAAAATAAATTTGGAAAAATGTAAAAAAAATTGCTCATACATAATTATGCATAATTTTATATATAATTATACATAAATAATTTCCTCAAATCCTTCCTTGATTTTTTATAAAATAAATAGTGCGAAAATTATCTTTTTAAATTATTTTTAATTATTTTTAATGTTTTCACATTATTATTATTTTCTGTTACATTAAAAAGTAATTTTACAAAAAAAAAAGAATGTGAATATGAACATGTATGAACATGTATGAACATATTTCATACATAATTACACATGTTTATGAATATTTATGCGAGTTTATATGTATGTTTATACATATTTATACATATTCATGCATGAAATCACGTTTTAAGAAGGTGCGCTCGTGCGCTCCCAGTATATTTTCTGGTATAGGGACACGCTTCTGAGCCAATGTCGCGCGCGATCGGCAATTAGGCCGCCGAGCCTCGAACGATAATGAGAAGATAATAAACGGCGCCTGCAGGAATCGGCTCGAAATGTACAGATTTTTACGAGCACTTGTGAAATAATTTGAATCATATTGCTCTTTCTTTTTCTAAAGTATCGGAATGAAGAAAGAAAAATGATAATTATTTTTTAAAATTGATAAAATAATGAAATTATTGAAATTAATTAATTATTCAAATTGATGGAATAATGAAATTATTGAATTAATAGAACTATTGGAATTACATAATTACAAATTGAAATAGATTCCGATTGTTTAATTATTTCCTAGATTTTTATATTATATTTTTTTAGGGGAACGAAATAATTCCGAAATCCATTCCAAACATTTCCATAATGTACTCAGATATGATTTTTATTCATTTCTAACTTCTTTTATTCATTTCTGAGCATAGCTGCTAAGATTAGGTTCAATGCTGAACGTCTGAATGAAACTGATGTATTTAAATAAATATATTTTATATGAAGATGTTTGAGGCATAATTATTATATCCGAGCTCTTAGTAACCTTTATTTCTATTATTATTTCATTTTAATAATGAGAATCTTTTGCATTAATTATTTTGATTAAATACATTTATTGTAATTATTTTTTACTTACTTAAATATATATGATCATGTTATTTTTTTGTGCTAGAATGACTTACCGGAACCAACCGGATGAATGCGACCGCAAGCGGCACCAAGGTTTTTATTCTTTTTCATCAGGTCCACGAGAAGCTTCACCGCCGCCGGTTGAAAGTCAATATCTCCGTCTAGTGTTAACAGAAACGTATTCTCGGCGATGACTTCCTTGCGATCGACACTGATCGGTAATTCCATTAGCCGATGACCCAGTAAGTAATACATGTACATTACCTAAATCAAGAAGTGAATACTTTCTTACGAGGCAATCTCTAATATTTTGTAACTAAATAAATAAATGAAGTTCTCAGGACACTCTAAAAAATTTTACTATTATAGTCATATTTTTTAATAATATGCATACTTGACTCCATCGTTTCCTATGTCGAATCTTGCTCTTATCCTTTAGATGGGCAATCATCTTCGTCTTTCCAGGAAGAGTCCATACCAATCGTCCACCATACGGAGTCGGGTACTTCTTAGGCGCTCTCACATGCATTCTCGTTTTGTGCACATCCGACGCGGCCTCGTCTAATGTGCCGACCAATAATTTCACGAACCTATTCACCTGCGACTCGTTCTCGTCGTGGTCGGACAACTCGAACGCATCGTCGAAGAATATGTGAGCTGGAGGAACACATTTCCACATGTGAAGCAATGAATAGATAGACATATCACAGTTTTGATAGAAAAGTGGTACATCTCAAAATTTATAACTTTTTAAGAGAACATTTTTAAAATTCCGAATTGGAACAACACAATCAGTAGACAATGTTTTTAAAATATATTCTTAATATTTAAATAATATTAAAAATTTAATATTAAATAATTATTTAATATTAAATATATATTAATTAATATTAAATATATAATTTAATATAAATATATATTTTAAAGACGTCTGCTGATTGGGAATGTTTTAATTAGGATAACGAATATGCATAATTTCCTTTATTTTCTATGTTATACTTTTAATTATTATATTAGTTATATGTATTCCACTCGTTAAAATCATATCATGAATTTTTAAAATTCGAACACAACTTTAATGTTGATTTTTTTTAATTCAAACTGCAATTCTAATGTTGATTTTTTTAGTTGTGACATTTTTCTACCGAGGCGACGACATTACCTAAATTGCTAATGCAATATTACTCACTTTCAAATTCGTAGTAGTCGGGATCGACCACCTTGAGATATTTCTGGGCGACGCGCCGCGCGCATTGGTCCTCGTCCAGACGCAGAATGCTTTTCAAAAACTCCATCATTTCCTCCTTATTTTCATGCCACATAGTAGCGCAAGCATAGATCCTAGTTACATGATCGCTGCTCTTCACCGCGGATGGAGGTGTGGTTGAACCGTCCGTCTGTTCATAGATTGTCTCATAGTCGCCGTCACCTTTTTCCTTCTCTATTTCTGCCAGATCCTGTCGATTAACCCGAACAGATTAATTTAAAAACTAACATTTTCAAGGTAACAATGATTTTATATTTTTATTTAAAATAATCCATCATTTGAATTGAATCATTTTAACTGAATTGAGAAATTAAGGAATCAAATTAGTTTAATTTCTATTTTTATTTAAAATAATCTTTATTTAAAATATTTAAAAGATTTAAGACATTTTTGTTTAAGATTCTTAAGATCTTCATTTAAGATATTTAAATAAAGATTGTTTAAGAACTAAGAAATTAAAAAATTAACATGCATTAACGTTAATTAATTTTTTGCAAATTTTATTCAAAGCCGTTCTAACTGAAGATATCTTACTTCGACTTTGACTTCTGGTTGATCATCTCTTCTTCGATTGAGGCCCATCGACTGATCGATCAGTAGAGAGTCATACATCGGCACGACGAAGAGCTTCTCTGTGGCCGCGAGACGCTCGCATTTGGGCGTCCAGATGTGCAGAGTGATCCAGGTCTGCGACAACAGCCACAACAACCACACCCAGGCATATTGTTTCGACACGAAGTCATTGAGGAAGTTTGGCAATGGCGACTCGTAAAACAGATAATCCGGTACTGTGCCATGGAAGAAACATGGATCGTTGTTGCGAAGACCACATGCGGCAATCAGAAGCGAGATCGACACCGGTATCGTAAGATTCACTGGGAACGCATAGCTGAAGCCTTGAATCAGGATCTTGCATGCAAACTTGCCTGGAAGATGAAATGAATTAAACACTAATTAAAGAGCATCTTTGAGTTCAATGGAGAATCTCTTGCTTAATTAAATAGTTAACCACGTTATAAAATATGAACTTCCATATTTTTCCGTGTTATTTCAATTGTGACGGTTTTACTACATATATAATTCGAATTTTAATTAAATAGTCCTCTCAAAAGACGGTTAAATATAGTATAGTAAAAACATTTTCAACGCGCATTTATTTTTATATTTGTGTTAAAAGCGATCTTCGTTAAATTTTTTTTTACATTTTTAACATATAAAAATGTTAATTTAATGTAATATGATGTTATTATTTTGTTATTTGAATATTTTATATTAAATTGATTTAATTGATGTTCAACATTTCTTAAATTGTGTAAATACTCGCTAGCGTTGTAAGTGCTAAGTGGAACGCTTAGTTTAAAAATAACAATTATGAATGAGTAACAACTAACAATCATATGTTTAATTAATCATATGTTTAACTAAAAATCATATGTTTTAAAATGTAAATTTCAAGATAAATGCATAATATGTGTTAATTTAAATGTTAATTTTATCGAAAAATTATGCTTTCACAATTGCTTACAAATTGTGTCAGTGTTTTTGTATTAATTTTTTGTATTAATATTTGTGTTATTTTCTAATATTCATCTTGTCTTAAATTAACAGATATTTGAGACTGTTTAGGAAAGACATGTGATATAAATTTAACACAAATTTTCCAATTGTGTGGCTTATATACTTATTTGACAAGAGCCATGATTATATTATTCTTATTTTTCTCCAAGTTAGCTTCAAATCCCAAGTTTTAGTGTTACTTTTATGATTATATTATTTTTATCTTTCCCCAAATTAGCTTCAACCTCATGAATCGCTCACCAAATACGTAGGCGAAGTAAGCGCCAGCGATTTGCAGCAGAAGGACATAAATGGGCGTGTTGAAGTCGGCGTTAACGACCTCGGTGATGTCGCCCGTCAAAATCTCCGAGAGATCAGGCAAACTGCCGCTGTTTATCGACTTGATGGAAGTGACTGTGATCTTATGGTCGCCGAAGGCATTGCTCAACATGGAGAAGAGATGCCCGACATTATCTCCTTTGATATGCAATATCAGTACCGAGCTGATGAAGAATGCCATGATCTTCCAGACGGACACCAACATATAAGTAAAGTATCGCGTCAATCGCATCTCTTTCTTCACTCTGCCAAGCGATCTGATTAAACCTATGAGGAGAAATTGACAAAAATATAAAGAAAGATGTTTAAAAGATTGTTTGAGTCAACTATGATATGATTTAATAATTTAATTTTATAAGATTTTATTAAAAATTATACAATAAAAATCTTAAAAAGTATAGAATATTTTAGAATTTATATATATATA